TACTGACAGCTATTCTGTTTTCCAAGCTGTCCAAAATACCAGCAACAAAAACCAACTAATATTACTAATTCAACAATCAATTTTAAAAATAATGAATAGAATTAAAATTATTTGGATACCTGGTCATATCGGAATATCAGGCAACGAACAAGCAGACATTGCAGCTAAAATCGCAGCAAAATCTCCAGTACTTTTTTCAGGACCACTAACCACCAAACCTCTGATAAACAGTGAAAAAAACAAAATATATAAAAATATTTCAATCTCCTGGAATGAATACCAACACCAATATAAGTTAATTAATCCTGCAGGGGAACAGAATACACTTCCAACCTCCACCGATGTATATTCCAACAAAGTATTCACTAGACTTAGACTTGGGCACACGAACCTCACCCATTCTTACTTATTAGAGGGATTGCCTCAACCAACTTGTAACTTTTGTAATACCCAACCGTTAACCATAACACATTTATTATCTGAATGCACAAAACTCCAGTCTACCCGTGATCTTATTTTTAATGGAACCAATCCCTTAGAAGGACTTAAAAACTCCACAAAAAAAATATTTCTAATTGTATAGAATTTTTTCGAACTATAAACTTATTAAAAAAAATTTAATTTGTATTTTATATGTACATATTTTAAACTCTGTAACTCAATTCTTTAAATCATACAACTAAAGCCGAAAGCCAAAGCAGCTAGTGCTTTATACTTTATTTTAATTATAATTTTCAATTGTAATTAAAATTTTTTTAAATAAATAAATAAAATAAACATATGTTTAGCAAAACTTTTCCAACTGTGGAAATTATAAAAAACATTAAAATAGATTTTTATATCCTAGAATATTGTTTTGTATATATTTGTTTGTGCTTTTGTTGTTATTACCCGCTTTAATACACCCAGCTTATTCGTTAAGACAATATTTTGTTGTTGGAGTAATAGAAAGAAGTCTGTAGGAAAATGGCAGTCAGTCAGAAGCAGTCTTCTTTCTATATTTTGTTGCGGCGGATGTCTATATTGATAAATTCATGTTGACGTTACAGTTGACCCCAGAAAGTTCGCGGTTTGCCGCCTTAACATTTTCCTTCTTTTTTTTTGTATTTTAATAATAAAACTTGTGTTTTTTTTTTGGGTTCACATGGAACACATTTTTTTATTTTGGCAACTGTTTTGGATTTATAACAAAATGTTTATATTTTATTGTATTAAAAAATAGCTAAATATTTATGTATGTATAAACATGTATGTATGATTATATGAATGGTAGAGAATTTTTTTGGCAAATGATTTAACAGAAAAAAATTGTTTGGTATTTTGTAACATTTATTTTATGTGGAAAAAGTTGATTTTTTTTTCTCATTGCGAGGTGGGAGTATTTGTGTCGTTTTTGTTGTTTTGGCGCGAAAATAGGACTTAATTTAATTTTTTCGAAAAAATATTAATGTATTTGTTTGTGTCATGTTTTATGGTTCCATGGACAACATATGTTAAGTTAAGCAAGAATGTTTTTTTTCTGTTGACCAGAAAATCGTTGTTTAACCGGAAGGTAAAGATTTGTTTTTCCGCTATACCGAGTAGCTAATGTGTATGTTTGTGACTATTAATATTAAATAGAGGGAGAAAGGAGATATTTTTTTGATTTTATTTTGAATTTAATTAAGAGAAAACTGTTTTGTTTAAATTTTATTTAGCTATGTTTGAAAATTTTTTAAAATTGAATAAATATTTTTCTTGAATTTTTCGAAAATTCAAATAAATCTTTGAAAAAAACTATAACTGTTAGACTAATCTCTAAATCATGCAGATTCATAAAAATATAATTTTTGTTTCATTTAGGGAAAACTTTTTTTCGAAGATTTTCTAAGCATTACCATGAATGAACTCTAATGGTATTCAAAAACCACAGTTTCTATTAAGTAGTTAGCAATCTAATTTTTTACCAATTAGGACTTATCCTTGAGCAATGTTATAAAGGCGGTTCCTCTAATTCAATCCAAGTTGTTAAAAAGTCTATGGTGACTAATGCAATTTAATAATAAGGCCCTATCCGACAATATAAGACCCCATTAAACCCCTATATCTTTACCTCTTTTAAATCATACTCAAACCATACTTGGTCCGCTTTTTGGAGTTATCCTTGAGCAATGTTATAAAGACGGTTCCTCTAATTCAATCCAAGTTGTTAAAAAGTTTATGATGACTAATGTAATTTGATAATAAGGCCCTATCCGACAATATAAGACCCCATTAAACACCTCTATATATTTACCTGTTTTGACTCATACTCAAACCATACTTGGTCTGCTTTTTGAACAGATTATTTATGTTATGCTCTTACCTTAAACTGAGCGTTTAAGAAACAAGTTGACCCGAACGAATATAAAAATGTAAGTATTATAATACATATGGGCAATTTCGTGTCAAGTGACCCAACTCCAAAAATCGATTTGGATGAAATTTGCACCAAGGTTAGTACTATTAGATAGTAGGATCGCATACCAGACACAGAGTATGTCGGTAACTTTGAAACGCTGATCCCATATGGAATGTCTTGGTCAAGCGGAACATTAGAGCAAATACCCGTAGGAATCCGTTGCTATACGGTTGGCTCTAAATTATTAGGGGATAATTTGAAGACCCATGTTCTATATTGAAGACCCAGAAACAGAAATATATCACCGTTTACCTAATCACAACATAAGCTTTCAAGCAGAATCTAAGACCCTATTGGATTGTAAGAAAGCTTTAACTGAATACTCTCCCAGAGGTAAGGTTTACATTATATGTTTATCAGGTCACTCGGGAGTAGTCGGCAATAAAGGGACGAATGTATTAGCTATAAATGTAGTTAACCTGATGAACGCAAAACCATTTAATTCAACGAAGGCTGAATTAAAAAGATGGATGAGAGAATCCCATAAGGCCTCTTGGAATAATTAAACGGTGGGTTGAACCACAAAGACCCTATGAGGTGACCCTAATGAGAGCAGGACCAGAAATCTCTTGAAAATGAGCAAGTACGACAAAATTAGGCGTGCGGATTCAGATAAATGTAGAGCATGTGGAGAGAACATTGTAATTCTGGAGTACTTTCTTTGCCACTATCAGGAATTCTCCGAAGCAATCTTGGGAGTGATATTATTCCGTATATAACACTAGTTGGAAAATTTTTAGGAATTACGTGCAGGAAACTGAGTTTCTGAACATTGAAAGATAATTCATTCAGTGAACACTATGTTTTTTTTTTACCAACAAACATGTTTCTTCCATGAAAAGGAGCGCACAACAGTCCCGATAGTAGCCTAGGTGTATTTCTTCGGGTTTGATGTAGTATATACCTTGCTAGCAACCAAAACTAACCGAAATATTTGATGAACAAACTTACCACTTCAAAATATAATTAACAATTTCGCAAATATTCAATAAATGCAAAATTTTACATGAAGCAAAAGGCAGGCTCCCCCAAATCTCCAGGGAACAGTCTTACGCCATTATTAAAATTCCTAAAAAAATAAAAATGGCAAAAATCTTTTTGATAAACGTCAACACAACCCAAGCGATTAAAAAAATGAAAAAGAACATTTTTTTAGTGTCTCCCAAGAACTTTTTCTGATATCAGTTACAGCATCTTTTAGGGGTAAGTGTATCCATTCTAAAGTTTATGTTTGTGTATAAATGTTCTCAATCAACCAACCATGCAGTAGTAGAAAGAAGCTCCCATCAGCAGCAGCAGCAATGCTTTTGTGTAAAACATTTTTATTGTATTTTATATAAATTTTTTCTGCGTATTCTACGACCAGAAATGAATCCTTTTGTTATTTTACTTTCTATATGGATGGTATCATTTGAAAAAGAATTCTTTCATGCGTAACTCATTATTTTTCTTTTCTTTTCAACTTTTTTTTTTTAATTTTCTTCTTCTTTTTGTTCACTTTGAGCAAAAGAGTAAAAGAAGAAAGAAAGAATGAAAGAAAAAAAAATGGAAAATAATTGCAGAAAAATATATTTACAAAGGCCTTAAAGATTACAAGCGTGTAAAAATATACTAAAATTATGATACATTTAACAAAGAGGTATGGGAGCGTTGATCAAAGAATGGGGGTTGTGAAAAAGAAAAATACCTCAAGGGGATGCTTAAAAGAAGTTCTACTCTTTAGTATTATCTACTTTGTAATGGGCTGATTTTAAGCAAATTTTTAAATTTTAAAATGTTAAAATATTTGGTCCTTCAGTCTTCTATAAAATAATGCAGATATGGTCCTTGGTTTATATTTTTTTTGCAAAAAAACATAATTTACATCTAATCTCGTTTCTTCTTTTGCTAATAAAAGTACATTTGTTATGACGCCTGCCTGCCATCACACATAAAAACCATAAAAATTTGAAGACTGGTAATAAGTTTGTTTTCAATATCATCATCGACATTACCAGCCATTATTGCTGATAACCCAACCAAGCAAACAAACACATATAAAAACAACATTATGGCAATTATGTTGTTTTTGTTGTCCTTTGTTAACCGAGGAATCGATATGTTATGATTGTCAAACGCTCCACCCCTTGAATCAACCTCAACAACCCTCCTACAATTATAAATGGTTCTATGGTGCGTTACAAGGTTCCGGTCGCATGTTCTCATTGAATGCTGACTCTGGTCTCGTTGCATTATGCGAAATAAAAACAATCTCTTACTCTACTTCATAGATTATTTGGGTTTATGTGACAATTATTACTTTTCTTTTTGCAAATAGAAAAAACTCAATTCAAGTATGAGTATTGTCATAATTTCTTTTTATGGGAACCACTTGAAAATATTCCAAGTGAAGCGAATTTTAAAGTGTGTTTTGTTTTACAAAAAAAACTTTATTGTTTTCTGGTGAATTTTTGTCATCATGGTCATTTATGTTACAATTATATAAAGATGTCATGTAGAAATAAATTGTTTCTTTTAAGCAAATTGTATTCTTTTGTTTAAATATCTTTATCATTTACAGATAAATCCTCTGTTGTGTGTTCTTCCACCTCCGTATCCACAAATTCTCATAACAATTCCAGCAATGACAACCGCAGCTTGAGTAAATGTTTATCGGGTAAGTTTTATTTTTTTATTTTTTTTTTGTATTTTATACCATTTGTTTGTTGTACAGTGTGTTAGCGAAAAGGTCCTTTTTTGAGCTTTTTTTCTGCCATATCATAGACATGCACCACGTTTTTATTTTTAATGTTAAAATTAATCACCAGAGTGCGCCGTTTGTTGCTTATTAAGGGGATGAAGTGGATTTTAGTTTTCAATTTCTTATGATTTATGAGCTTTTTCTTCTTTTGTTAAGGGTATATTTTGGAAAATAAATTAATTTTGGAAGGTATTTTGTTTTGTTTAACGAACTTTAGAAGTTTTTTTAATTTGAAAAGCTCAATAGCCGAGAAACATTTTGTTATTATGTCTTAATACATTGAAATATTGCTCACATCTATATATTCTGAAATCTTACAAGTTCTATAACAACTACTTTTCAATGACTACTAGTTACTGTCTGCATTACTTTAAAGTACTCTAACAATGACTTACATATAACCATAAAGGAAATTATTATTTTTATGTTTCGCCATACATACATAGACTAGAAATCCGCAACAAAATAATGAACACGAGACCCAGGTCCATATTTTGTAACGACAAATTTTTTGTGCGTATAACAAATCAACTTTTTAACTCCCTATTTGTAATGGCTTATTTAATTCATTGCTTGTAATCGAGCGTATTAAGACTTGTCTCCAATGTTTCAATAGCTTTCTAACTTATTACTTTTCAATGTATAAAGTTTGGAAATCGATTCGAAGCTATAAGAAGATAACGGTTACCATATTTATTTACGGTATTTGAGTTTATTGCGGTAATGGCGTCTTACGTTACCAGTACCGTTACGTAACGTACCGTTATATATGTACATTTATGGATTTATTTAAGATATTGGGTAAAATAAAAATTTTGTCAATGAATCCGGCTTAAATTAAAAATTCGTTTATGTCTGGTTTCGTATCTCCGTTACCGGTATTTTAGGGGTATCGGTTGTAAAGGTGAATACGTATTTTCCAAATGACTAGACATGCTAGTCTAATGTTGTTGCTATTATGGACTCAGTACGTTTTAACAATTTTCTACATGGAAAATCGGAGACTGAACAAAGGTATGTTATTGGTAAAGATATGAGGCTATGGTTGAAAAGTACTAAGTCGTAGTGGGGGATTGGTTAGTGTTGAGTTAAAAATGCACACATTTTATTGGTAATTGTTGGTCTGACATTAGTAAAATTTTTGTGAAAAATATATATTTAAAATTTTTTTAAATGGGTTTCAAAAATTACATTTATCATATTCACAATCGGTGTCGTATCGTTATAGCGTTTTATGTTATAAAAAATGTTCAAATAAATTTTTTTAAACAAAAACAAATCAATAATACAACAAGTAAGAAACAAAACACCAAAAAAAAAAAAACAAGTAAAAAAGTATATTCAGGGGTGGCCGACCATATGATACCCTACACCAGTTATTATTTTTAATAATAAAGCATTTATGTGGAATTTCTCCTTAATTTCGATATATTTTTGATAAAAAAATGATTTTCTGATGGAGGCTATACATGGGGGCTAGGGTCAAATATGAACCGATCCTAACAAAATTTGGTGGAGGGATTTTTGTTGACATAAGTAAATTATGCCGAATTTCATTGAAATACACTTGTTTATAAGGGAATTATCGACGTTCAAGCATTTTCTGAGGGGGACTCTGCAAGGTGGCTAGGGTTAAAAAAGGGCCACTCATTACGAAATTTTGCGGTATCATTTATACTTGTATAAAACGTAGTTGTTTCTATTTTGTAGGGATATTAGTATATTTGGCATAATTATGAGGATCCGGTTATATGCACAAAAAAAAAAAAAACAATGTTCAACGCTTTTTCAATAAGTGTATGTTGTTGTTGTTATATTGGGTTTGTGCTGATGTTTGTAACATACAAAAATATTCGTCCACCTTAAAGTATACCAATCGGCTTAGAATCGTTTTCTGAGTCGATTTAGCCTTGATGACCTTGCCAAATTTCATAAAGATCGGGCCTCATTTGACCCTAGCTCCCATGCAAAGTCACCTTTCCAAAAATTACTTCAATATCCAAAATTAACTTATAAACACAAATATCGCGATGAAATTCGTCACAAATAAATATTACATAAATATAAATATATTCACAAAACTTTTTCGGGCATGATCCATATTTGCCCCTTCCTCCATATGAAGGCTTTTACAGAAAATTAGTTTTTCATCCATAAATTGCTTAAATGTATCGGAACAATGAATTATTATGAAAAAATAAATCACATTTAATATTCATAACTGGTGTAGTGTATCATATGGTCGGTCACGCTTTACTTTTTTCTTACTTGTTTTTTTTTTCAAAGCATGCACTAACATTCAGATAATTGATTTCGACAGTCAGACGGAAAGATGGATTGATAGACAGACAAACAGACGGATGGACAAACAGATTTCGCTACCTATCCAGAATATAGGGTAGGAAAATTGTATTGTTGAAATTACAAAAGGAGTGAAAACTTATATATACCCTTCTCACGAAGGAGATAAAAAATTACGACATAGTACGATACAATCGTACATCACCGATTGTGAATTTTACGATTATTTTGAGTCGATAATTATATGTAATTTTTAGGTTATAAAGACAAATGTTTTAAAATTTGTTTGTATTTGGTTGGTTTTTTTGAAACGGAATTTTTTAGATTCTTTTGTGATTTATATGACCCTTATAAAACTCGGTTTGCCGGCCACAAATCCTTCAACAAAAATGTTTATTATTTTTACGAACTTGTTCACTGAAAATAATTCATGCTTAATTTTACAAAACTACTTTTTTCGTAATATTTACGAAAAATTCGTATATAATACGAATTCGTATATATACGAAATATTATTTAATCAAACCCTTTTCTAATTTTACGAAAATACGAAAATCATTTGTATTATCTTTTTTAATAATATTAAGTACATTATTATTAAATAAACCTACAACATTTTATTTTATAAAATTTAAGAAAAAGTATAGTATTATATACGAATTATTTTTATAACAAATTTGTTAAAATTACATAGCTTATTATAAAAGGAACAACAATTTTTGCATAAATAAATATTTCGTAAATTTCACTATATTTATTCTAAATTTACATTTTACAATTTATGTAATTTAATTTTTCTAAAATTATTTTGCATTATAGAAAATATTTTGTATAATTTCGTATATAATAAGAAACAATTTCGTGGTGTTAAACAACGAAACATTCTAATAAAGGACGACATTTTTCGTATATATATTTGGCATGGATTATTTTCAGTGTATTTATGGAATTTCATCAAATCAGACCCATTTCGAAAAACTAGTTCTATATAAGATTAAATGAATTTCAAATAAGTAATGCAGACGATATGTATGTAGTTGTCATTGCAATGTAAGTTGTTGAATAATTCCAAGTCATTACCAGATTTTTGCTGCATTTCTCTAAAGACCCAATATAAATTTGAATTAAAAAACATATATAAAAGAACAACCATTAAATATAGATGAAAATAACGCAAAAAAAACATTTTATTAAATTTTACAAATTCTTTCCCATACTCCTCATCTAGCGTTCATAAATCTCGCCTAATAACTTAAGTCAAACTAATCGATTTTAATGGAAAAAAATAATAAATATTTTTGCACAATGATTTCATATGCTAAATGACAAGAATCCCAGTCAGCTCTAATAACAGCGGGATGTATGGGTGGGAAAGTTTGTAAACAAATGTCAAGCTTAGGACACTCCGACACACACTTCAGACGAAACATTAACAGACAATCACAACAAATGAAATGAACAAATAAACAAAAGACACATAAATACTGGGATAAAAGGATGAATGAATGAATGAGTGTATAAAGTAGCTACAATGTAACTACATTTTGATAATCATTTGACTCTTAAGTACTCTTCAGCGTTAATCCTATTAAAGCGTGTAGCATATGACGGCCAAAAAAGAAGCAACAATTCAAATAATAATAGAGATGGGTAGTACACACTACAAAGTCAACCCTCCCTCTAGCAATAGAAACAATCACAACAAACAACTTTAAAATTATAGACAAACAAAAAAGAATTTTAGCTTGTGATATTTGGTACTTTATACAAGTACTTTATTAATGTCTGGGAACAACTTGATGATGTACTCAGTTACTAGCTTTTTCAGACACAATGAAGCCAATCATCAGATCATAAAAAGATCAACTCAAGTGTGCGTGAGAATTTTATGGCAAAACAATAGATTTCAGCTAAAAGCGCACGAGCAATAAATTTTCAATTGATTTATCTGCGCCGAAAGAAAATGTACCACAAACTGGGGTGGAATACACAGGCACAAGTCATGAATTTGTAAAAGGGTGTGTTGAAATTGTTTCAAATTTAATCATTATGAATTTATTGTTATTTTAACTTTTTAAAAGAATAAATATTTATCTACTGGATATGATCTTGTTTAAGTAATTGCTCCACAAGCGGAATTAATTGCATGAAACAATAACAAATACTTAATAATAGAAATGTTAGAATTGTTTTATTTAAATAAAGAGATTAAAATGTAAATATTGTTGTCTTAGATCTTGAACAAATCAGGATTAATACATTTAAACCATGTCCTTGCAATAAATTATGCGTAGTATGTATAAGGATTTAATCATTATTGTCATCATCATTGACAACAATGATTTATGATTGCAAAAGTGTGTGTCTATGAGAAAAAAATATATCGAACCAAATAAATTTACACACCAGTCAGTTCTACAGCAGCCATTCCCTCCCAGCCAGCGAATTTGGTGGCAGGAGTAACAATAACGATAATAATGAAATTTATTATTTTTATTAGAAGGGATGATAATGACTACAACAATAATAACGATGATGATGACGTTTGACTTATGTTGTTGCTGCTGCTGTTGTTGTTGCCATTACAACTACTGCTTGTCATTATTATTGAAATTATTATGAAGAAAATACAAAAAGTTAAGT